TTCATAGAAAACTAAAATGAAACTATATCAACTTCATTACTTTGAACTTATATATAAACAAACATTTTTTTATTATTTACATATTTTGCAACAATAAAATCTGGCAGACACAAAGTCACAAAAATACGTTAAAATATAGTTATCACATAAAGCAAACAATACTTGTATATAAAAAATTTGTCTTTTGCAGTTTTTTTTTAAAATAAATTTTGTTTATACTAATTTTTTGTTATCAGCATTATTTTAAATAAATAATAGCAATACAAACAAAATAAAAAACTGTACAAAGATATCAGTAGCTTCACTTACACATTCAGTTCTGAAAGATACACTGTCAAAAGACTAAAATGAAAGATACAAAAGCATGCGTTTATTGAAAGTATCTATAAAATATGTATTTACTTCTTTCGTTCTGCTTAGTTTAAAATTATTATTTTTACATATAATAAAATATTTTTAAATTTTTTGTATACGTTCACATAGTATGTATAAACATATATTTAAATAAATATATTAAACTTTAAATGATATCAGATGTACGCTCTGTCTTGCATGAATCGAAAATATAAACAAACAAACATATATACACGTACATACACAACATACTCTCGTGCGAGTATTGAGCAAGAAAATAAAAATAAAATTCATTCACAAATAAATCGGCCGGAAGTGACATATATCTCAAGTGGTTACGACATGCATATAATGTAAACGTACTTGAAGATACTTAAAAGCAACAGATACATGTACAAATGTAAGATATAAATTTATACGTACATGTTTGCCTATAAATATATGTGTTGATAAAAGCGAACTTGTGAGTTTTATCTATTGAAGGGCTTGTCTAAGCTTAGAAAATTATTTCAAATGTAATACGAAATTGAAATGTAATTAAATACAAGATAATAAATTTATTATATACATTAGAAAATAATATTTATTAATACATATATAGAATGACGTTTAAAATTTGATGTCGTAAAATAATTTTATTGTTATAATAAAATTAAAAAAAGTAAACATTTTATGAGTAATCTTTGTCTTTTAAGTATTTCTCTAAAAGAGTTTCACATTTTAAAGCGCTTTAGTTGGTTTTTACTAACTATCGGTTTGAGTCTGGAGTGATAAATACATGTATCATTGATTATCACATATAATATCGCATAAAAACATATTTTTTATATTGCTTTAATTTTAAAATAGCTTCAAACAGCTCTGATTCATCAACGCATTCTTGCTTAAGATCGACTATAAGCCACGTTATCCACATATATAAGAAATCATATACTGCCATCCGAAGCTTAGAATTTTTTTTTTGTTATTATGATTAAATGGACTTTTTTAAAGTTTTTAAAATAACCACCGAATGCTGGTATTACGGTATCATCCATATACCACCGATGAAAAGTTGATTTTTATAGAGTAGAGCTCATAACACTTCTCTTAAACCATCGCTGGATTTACGCAGCATTTTTTCATATTAAAAAAAAGTTTATATATTTTCATTGTTTTAAAAAAACAATAGTAGCGACATAAAGATCACTATAACGTATTTAATTGGAGGACAATATGTCAAAAAATATTGGCATGCCTCGTTTCAAGGTTGCTATTTTCTAAAATACATACGATCTTGTTAATTGAGACTCTTACTATGTGTTATCCTATGTCTTATGTATATTTTCCTAACTTTTACAATAATTCAAACTATAAATATTATTAACGAAATAGATTCAATAGTTCAATAAGTTAATTAAAGTTAGTTAAGTTAATTAAAGTAATTTTTATAAATTCTCAACTATCACTTTTGAAATACATTTTCTAATAAAACAGTTTAGGGTTTTTATTTTTTGAGGATCTTGGCGAACTGCAAGACCTTCCCTTCAATAGCATTATACGCTTTGTGAAAGATTCGAAGTGGTTTTAACTCCTGAGTTTTTTATTATAAGGTAACACAATGGGCCTGTAGTCCTAAGTGGATTCCTTGGGATCAACGGTATAACCTAACCTAACAACACAACTTTCGAAAGACTATTAAAATTATCATTAAATATTTCAAACTATCGCAAATACAATCGTTGAAATTTCAAGTATGCGATAGTTTTTATAATAAAAAAAAATGGAATAGGATTTAGAAGGAAAGTATCACTATTTTGATAGAAATTGAAAAGTAACCCTTTTTCTACATTTTGTTTGTCTAACAAAAATGTTACACCTTTATTAGAAAAACAATCGCAAAAACAATCTATCAGGGTTCCTGCGATTGGTTTTATATTTTTAATAGATGTATACAATCTACAAATTTATAGAATCAGGGTTTATGTGATGGATTTTATACTTTTAAGGGATGTATACAATCTATAACTTTATAGAATATTCTGTCTATTTATATTTATATTGGATTTAAACAAATCATAGTGAAAGTTTTCTCAAGCGAGACCAGTTGGACCCGCTATTCTAGTTGAGAATTGTCAAACGTATTTTGTGTGACAACATGGAACTAAAAACACTACCCAGTTAGAGGGGAGGTCTATTTAGAAAAGCATTTTGGAGAGCATTCACTGTACATATGTCAATGAAATCTCCGCTTTAATATTAATCTGAATAACTTACCAATCTGTTCTAGTTTTGCTATGTTGTGGCATAGTTTATGCTTTTGTTAATATTCACTCTCCTTAAAATGCGTACATTAACGTGCTTTCGTACATAAATACGGGTACTTCTATATATAGAACATATTAACTGATACCGTACGAGTACAGAATGTGACTATCTGTATCTGTATCTGTATCTGTATCTGTATCTGTATCTATTATGTTATGAAGAATAACATTTTTGTATTATTGCAATAAACGGAAGTTCCCATGCGCAGCAACAAATTTAAATTTTCTAAAACGAAAATGCGAATACAATGAAAATTGTGTAGTTTTATGAAAATTAAAAACAAACAAAGGAATAAAATTTATATACATATATATAGTTATATATATAGTTATATTCATATAATAAGTGTATGGTAAATTGTCATTATGAAAATCTCGTTCGTCAGCTAATGCAGCTTAGCAAAAAATAAGAATCCAAATCAAAAAAAAAAAATGAGTTCTTCCACGAATCTTATTTCTAACGCGTATTGCGGTTTGAAGCCGCCACTAAGCAGCGCTCTAATTCAAGTCAAACGTAGTGAATAAAGACAACATAAGTTCAAAGGAAGTTTGCTATTTACATATATAATGCAAATTGTAGATACTCATTCATTCGTGTATCTTGTGAAAGCATTTATTCCGATTTCAATTACTTGCATTCGCCACTTGAAACTTATTTAATTGTGTGCTTATGCGGTCTGCTCGCACAATAAAATAAACAAAATATAAATTCTTTTGAGTTGGTTAATTATATTTTTCTATATACATTTATATATTTTTTTTCAAATAAGTTTGCAAACGCGGGAAATTGTAAACTTCCGCTTTTTGCATGTCATGTAATATTCATTTCCGTTTTATTATTATTTGTCTTTTGTCTAAAATCTTATTCATAGTTAACCAAACATGGTTAACAGAACGCAATATAATTGATTAAAAAAAAATTATAGTTAATTATTTGTTAAATAAATTTCATTATAATTTGATGAGCTCAATATATTTATCAGTAACTCTAACTTACACAATCTACTATTATTAAAAAAAATGCCATTTAATTATATTGTGTCATTTTTATATTTAATTTAATTTTGCCCTTTAGCTAAATTTAAAGAAATTATATAATTTTGATACTTTAAAAATATATGTTAAATATATATTTAAGGAACATACTTAACCCTTTCGCGACTACTTCCCATATAATTTCAAAAAAATATCTTATTGTTATTGTCAACTAAAACTTTTATTTTTTGAAAACATCTAATTTGTGGTCTCAAAAATATATTTTAAACGTATGTATTTGAATATATTTAACCCATTCGTGACTACTAAGGCGATAAGTTCCATATAATTTCAAAGCAATTCAATTTTCTCATTGTTAAGAGAAAATATGAAATTTAATATTTTCAAACTATTTTTTAAATATATATATTTGAATATATTTAACCCTTTTGTCACCATTGAGGCAGGCAAAAAGTTCCACATAATATCAAAGTAATTTACTTTCCTTTTTTGTCGGGAAAATCATATTAATTAAAAATATAAAATTCAAAATTTCAAAAATATATTTTATTGCATATGGCATTTGCATATATTTAACCTTTTTGTGATTACTGAAACAATCAGTTCCATATAATTTCAAAGCAATATCATATTGTCAAAGAAAACTCTTAATGAAAATATATACCACTTAGTATTTATTTAACCTTTTCGCGGCTACTGGGAATATACGTTCCATATAATTTCAAAGCAATATTTTATTCTTACTGTCAAAGAAACATTATTTGAATTATTTTGTTTTTGTGTAATTTGAATAAAAAAAACATATCACAGTGAAAGCTCTCATAATAGACAAGAGAGCTCAAACTGCATAAAAAAACTGCATATAAAAAGTCTGACGTTGAAATTTTTAAGTTGAGAATTATGTCTGAATACCTGAAATTTGATTTGTAACAAAATCTCTTCTGACGCACAGAAATTTTTACTATTCAGGGAATGGAAACAGATGCCAACTTTATGAATGAAACTCATAGTTGACTGGTGCGACTGTTGCACGGGCTATTATTAAATACAAAAGAGGTGTTATAACTTATACAATTCCATTAACCATAAAAATAAAAATATTTATAAAATCTTAACAAAAGCATTGAATTTCCATAGTTTAAAAGCATAAAATGATGTAATTTTTAAATTTAAACTTGATATGATGTCAACAGTTACAAATGACAAAAGCCGCAGCAATTCGCTACATCTCCATATTAAATTACAATGTTATTAAATTACACAAAAATAATACATAATAATATAAAACTTTAAAACAATATGCAATTTATTTATTGTTGTATTTTTTCTTTGTTGCATTTTCAGATGGTTTCTCCAGTTTCCGCCAAGCATTTCCGGAATGGTGTGAAGATATTAGCTCACAAAATACTGAAATGGAATCTAGTCGCAGCACACAAGCTGATCAGCTCATGGGATTAAGGTATTTATCGTAAGCTCTATAAATTCTATTATATTTCATAATATTAATTCGGTTTTATTTATACTATAGATCACTGCGAATATCAACGCCACATTCCGATTCTGCCTGCAGCAGTTCTGCCGAATCATCAGATTGCGAAAGCACTACACATCATAATTTCAATGAAGCGCCCGTGGAAATTATACCCGGTCTGTTTTTGGGTAATGCATCGCACAGTAACGACTCGGGAGCTTTACAGAAATATAACATAAAGGTATTTTAAATATTTTTATAGATATATAATTTAATAAGAAATAATTAATTCAATTTATTTTACAGTATGTTTTAAATGTTACACCAGATCTTCCTAATGTCTTCGAAGAATCAGGCGGCATACAGTATTTACAAATTCCAATTACTGATCACTATTCACAAGATTTGGCCATGCATTTTCCAACAGCTATTAAGTTTATCGGTAAGTCACGTTATTTTAATATTATGATAATTTAAAGAATATTAAAAAAATATTCTAATATAATAAAATACAATGGTAACACTCTTGAGCTCAGACTCATTGCCACACAACTTTTCGATTTCAAATAATATACATGTTTTGAAAAATAGTGAACTATAACAAAAAATATTTTTTATATTATATATCCAAATAATGATAAAATCTAAGGAAGGTTTTAGAAGAATCATCCAAGAGAGATGTCTGTTGAAAAAGTTAACACTGCATTATCGTTTACATAGTCAATGAATTGTAAAATGGTCTGGAAAGTTTTTTTGGTTAATTATTCGGCCTATAAATAGTTACTAAAGCAACTTAAATATATACTTCTAAACGTCTAGGACCACATTTAATAATCCTCGAAATGCTATCAGTATCTTACTTAAAAAAATTACTCAGTTTTCTTATTAAACCAAAGTGTTTACAAATATCTAACATTAACAAAGTAATTATAACAAATAATTCGTTCCTCAACAAATACTGTATTGAAAATAATGTAATGTGATGTAAATATCTCTACCTAAACTTTTATATATATTTAACTTTTTTATATATTTATATTTAAATAACAACTGGATTTCTTTTGAGCAATTTTTTTTTGTTTTAAACCATAGATTTAATCCTTTTTAACCCACAAAAAAGTGTAGACTATAGTATATATAAAGTTCAAGCATCTAGGTATACAATTTGATTTATGCTTAGACTGATATCCTTGTATTTCAAATTTTAAACATCTCTATGAAATTTCTAATAATGCTATGGGTTAATATTATGTATATTATCATTCTTTTAACTAATATTTATCGATGTACGTTTAATATATTAATTGCCGTAATAATTTCTTGATAAATTATTACAGATTGTTATCAGAACCAGTTAAAATCCTAATAACTTTCATTTAATTTCCTAGTCAAAATTATAAGATATTTTGTATTATAGTTTACACAATATCTTTATAAGTAAAATGATAAAATTATCATTATTATCAAAATTATAATAGTCACACCATAAACCCAATACCAGTACTTATTCATCTACATTTATTCAACGCTCTCTAGCTTAACTTTAATAGCAACCTTACAATATTTGTTGAGTTAGCCCAAATATGTTAAATCCTCAAAATAGGAAACTATCAAGCAGTTAAACCTTTGACTGAAGCAAACCGGGCAAAGACATAAAAAGTGTTTGGCTTAAAATTATTTATAGGAATTTTAAGGACTAAATAATATAGTATAATATAATTATAATACAATATAATTATAATGTAACAATAATATAATTATAATATAATAACAATTTAATAAGATTATAATTATAATATAATAATAATATAAGATTATAATTATAGTATAATAATAATATAATTATAATATAATAATAATATAATTATAATATAATAATAATATAATTTAATATAATAATAATATAATAATAATAATATTATTATTATAATATAATTATTTTTTATTTTGCTTTTATATATTTTATATTAATAAGAATGAACTGTATATTAATTAATTTTAATTTAATATTATTTTTACGTTTTTTTTAACTCCCTCTTCTATTTTTTTTTTATTTTAGAGGAAGCTCGTTCCAAAAATTCGGCCGTGCTGGTTCACTGCCTTGCCGGCGTCTCCCGCTCTGTCACAGTAACATTGGCATACCTAATGCATACACGTTCATTAAATCTAAATGATGCTTTTACACTTGTACGTGATCGCAAACCGGACGTATCACCGAATTTCCATTTCATGCAACAATTGCATTCATTCGAACAGCAACTACATCTTACATCGAACGAATGCACCGCAATGGATGAAAGTGTCACCAGCAATACGCTTTCTGCTACAGTCTCAGCAGCAATGGTACAGAGCAATCGTTGCGGACGTGGTTCAAAATTTACATGCACCTGCATCGCAACTGATTGCAAATGCATGCAAACCGGCGGTTATATGGCGCAACTTGCCAAAGCAACTGGTGTCTCACCCGATTCCGGTATTGAATTTGATCGGTGGACGCCATCTTCCGATACAGGTCTTAAATGAGATCAACTTGTGGGAAAAAGTTTTGTGCTGCCGCCCAGTGTCGGAGAACCGCCTACAGCGCATAATGCCGACAATATGTCGCCTGCATCGACAACCTCTTCGTCCACTTCGACAACAACCACTGCTGAGGCGGTCTCAGTGGTTGAAGTTATGCCAACGCATACAAATGAGGGACGCACATTGGTCAGTGTTGACACAACACTTGCCGAAGAGGACGAAACGGAGCAAAATGCCGATGAAATTGAACAATAAATTTGCACAATGAAAAATGAAAAATTGAAAATTAAGAAAAACTATACGAAAACCAAGAAAAGCGTACACACAAAACTTTTTTCCTACTTGTATGGTTAGCACAAAAGAGCAACTCTAAAATATTTATACATTATACAATATATTTTTTAATAATTTAGTTTTTAAATATTGTTTTCACTGTAATACAAAACAAAAATAATTAATTAATACGAATATACAGAAATACAAAATACAACAACAAATGATTAAGCTAAGATTTGTTTGAATGTAACGTTATTATTGTTAAAATTAAATTATATTAAATTAAATTAAATTAACTAATATTAATTGTTGTTGTTTTACTACTAAATTTTTATTAGATTATTAGCAATTAAATTGATTAATAGAAAAAGCATAAAGCAGAGATTTGTACTTTGTGAACTGTTTAACATATTTACAAATGTGTATGATATGCATATATTTAAAATATATGCAGTCGCAGATACATACTTACAAAACCATTTGCATATAATAAATATACATAAAAATAAAACCATATAGTTTTAAGAAGCAAAACTAATATAAAATGTAACAAGTAAAATGTAAAAGAATTATTTATATACGATACGCAAATATAATGTATATAAAATCCAAATTTTATTCATATTATAATTATTATATTTGAAAAACTATATTAAACAAGAACATATTAATAAATTTATAAATTTATATGAAAATTATATTATTGTTATTGTATACAAGAATCACACAAATTTGAATAAAACACAAATTCATTAATATTTTATTTACATGTAATAAAAAATTGAAAAGTTAAGAAAAATACATAACGAAAAAATTAAATAAAATTCTTAAATTTGCCAAAAAAAAAAAAAAATTAATTAATGGTCTTTTTATTTTTATTTCTAATTATTTTCTTTATTTATAATTTTTATTAAATATTTTTACTTAATATGTTAAAAAAATCTAACATAATTTTAAATAAAATATCAGGAACCAGGATTCGATTCTATAATTTTAATAATTTAAATTAAAAGTATAATTTTTAATTTTGTAAATTTTTTCAAGAATTTTAAATGTTAAAGTATAACACTTATTTTTACTTGAAGAATTCAACATTTCTTATAGTCTTATAGAAAGTCATTTCTTATAAATATTTTTAAAAATGAATTAGAACTTTTATGAGAATTATATATATATTATTCAAAATATTACTTTTCAGTTCAGTTCATTAATTTATGGTCTTACAACAGGTTGAATACCTTTTAAATAACTTTTTAAACGATTTTTGGAGGTTGTTATATGGTACTTATATAGTTATATATAGTACTTAACTAATTCTTACATCATCAAAAATGTTGCAAAAAATAAAAGTTTTATTTATTTCGTTATTAAGAGTGACGTTGGTTTAATGTGTTCATATGCGAGTCGGCGTTATAATTTTGGCAAGGTTCAATACCTATTACTTGCAATCTAATAAGTGAATGCTCCAGTTGTTCGCAATTTAAAATAGTTAAAGGATGTTTAGCAAAATCAAAAATATTTAGTTTATGGTTTTTATGAATTATTTATTTTATTAATTTATGGATTATAGTAAAATTATTTTACTATAACTATTTTTCTATTCGAAATAGAACTCTTTTCATGTTTGTTTAATTTAATTATGAGTGATATATGATTATGTAACTAAATGTGGAGCTATAAATGATCATTTCATGTCTTTATAAAGAATATTCCAAACTTTTCAGAATGACGTCAATCTTCACTCACACTTTGGTTTACTGTAACGATATTCTCAGCAGTAGGTTTACGTTTTTCACGAATATAACTCTTATAGTTATAAATATACAAATTGTATAGATCTTTCAATGAGATATATACAAACAACCCTAAACGTAAATATCAATTTTGTTAGGAATCTTAAAAAATATATATCGATCATTAAACTAACGTTCAATTCTGATTTCAGTACCCCGATCCTTATGATGATTATTCATTTATCACAATATAAATCTTTTAAAATCTTTTATTTATATTCTTCAAAGTATGTAAAATGGTTTGATTATTTGTTTAGTTTTTTAAACATTTTATTAAAAGTTCGATCTTTAAACTGACGTTTGATTCTGATTTCAGTACCCCGATCCTTATGATGATTATTCATTTATCACAATATAAATCTTTTAAATATATTCTTCAGATTTATAAAATGAACCCGGCTTTATGGAAGACATTTAATAAATATTTACTGATCTATATTGAATGATACATATAATCACCTATATTTTCTGAGTTCATTACTTTTTTATCTGTACTATGTATATTTTTAGATAATTAATAATAGAGATAATGCAATAGATCTGCTTTTTAAATATTTTTTTAATTTTTAATCTAACTCAAATAGATATAACTACTATTAATATTATACGTTTCAGTGATCAAATTGTGCCCAAAAATGCTCATGAATTAAATGCTAACGCTATCAATATCATTAGGAGTAAATGAGTTAGTGATCTAGAAAATTTAATTAGCAGGAGTAATAAATATATTTCGTATCATTGCTTAAACTGCCTAAAACTACGAAGGTAAGACTTATTTAAATAGATTTTAGAAGTCCTTTATTGAAAAGCTTTGGAATAATTTTTGGACATATAACAATATTAATATATTGTATATTGTATAAAGTATATATTATAATATATAGTTATAAAATATAACTATATCTTATAAATGCTATTTATTCTTATTATGGAAATTTTTTTTTAAACACTTTTGTATTTCTCGTTGGAATAAAAGTTACAAAGTCAGTAAAAATTGTAATTATTTAACTAAAACAATTTAACTAACTAAAAGAATTACAATTTTTACTAACTTTGTAACTTTTATTCCAACGTGAAATACAAAAGTGTTTAAAAAAAATTTCCATAATAAGAACAGCTACATTGTATGTAATTAATTTTTTTTTGTTCTATGACAAAAAATCTATTTAGAATAGACAAAGGGGTAATTGGGAGAAAATTCAAAAATTCAAAATTTTTTAAATTTTAATTCCGGATATTGCTAAATACCTATTGAAATTGGACTTTGAAGATATCTACTGTCGACTAGCAAGTGGGCTTTCTTGGTGCACAAGGCCGTCACTTCAACCTAACCTATATGTTATTAATTCTATTTGATTTAATTGGTCATTTGATATTTCAACGCATAAAAAAATTAATTATTGAACAATTATAAATTCTTAAGTCATTTAAACAAAAAAAAAAAATGTCTAAATTTTAATTTTTTATTTAGTTTAAAAACAAATTATATCTTATTCAATTTGATTATTATTAATTTCTTTATTTTTATTTACAATTTTTTTCATAGTGCAAAATTTAAGAATTTGTTTCTTAAATATTATATATAACTATATATAACAAAAATATTCTTATATATAATAAATGGAGAGACAGCGAATTATGCGATTAATAAATTTAATATATATAAAAATTTGGTACAAATAAATATTTATAAAATAAACCATTTATATATAAGTATATACATATACGTATATATATTTAAATGTTAAAAATAAGGTTTCAAAATTCTTTTGCAATCATTGTGCGAACAAACTGAAAGAGATTACAAATTAAAAAACCGCTGTTTTTAATTATAATTGTTTAAAAATTGATGTAAGTGGAAAGCAAAACAAGATGTGAATTGTGAAAAAATTCTACTTGATACTATATTTATTTGTCATTTAAAATAAATAAAATGATCACTTTGTTATTTACCATATCATTTAAATATAAGAACTCTATTTTTAACTTATTCCTTCAAATAAGATGTTTAATTTTTATTAATTTCTATATAAATTTATATGTCTTTGATTAATTTCGAAATTCATATTCTTTTAAACCATTTCTACAGCGAATTCTGATTACGCAAATTGTCTATATACACTAATACTTATTTCACACATTTGCATTTTGAACTTCTCTAGGAGTAAACTTTCATTCAGGTACAGACCAAAGACACACTCCCATTTTAAAGAGTGTGAAAGAGGGAATGAGAATTGATGGCAATTGGAATAGAATTTGAGAAGGGAAAATTTGTTACTAAGACTTAAGACGTATGAAAAAAATATAAGAATATCTTTTTCATCTTCGTGGGATGGGACCACTGTTCCATATGAATAAATTTTCTTCGAACAAATAAGCAGAACAGGTTTAAAAATTATTATAACAGTTTTTATTAAAGAAAAAATAATTTTTATATTTATTTTTTATTTTATACATAATTACACATTAGAAAATGTGTACTTTTATTATTGTCCTAATTATTATCAGGATATTTACCTAAGGTTTTAAGAGCTAATATCATATGAAATTTCTATTCTTTTATATAAAACTTAAGTACGTTCTCTATTTAATAGAAATATATGTTTAAGATATATTATTAAAATATAAATTTAATTTTAAAACTACATTGAACTTTAACACCGCCCAACAGTTCTTTACTTATTCATAATAGAACATTAATTCAAGCTTCTTAAAATAACATATCATAATCTTTTATTTACGATTAGTTCCTATATGAATAAATTTTCTTCGAACAAATAAGCAGAACAGGTTTAAAAATTATTATAACAGTTTTTATTAAAGAAAAAATAATTTTTATATTTATTTTTTATTTTATACATAATTACACATTAGAAAATGTGTACTTTTATTATTGTCCTAATTATTATCAGGATATTTACCTAAGGTTTTAAGAGCTAATATCATATGAAATTTCTATTCTTTTATATAAAACTTAAGTACGTTCTCTATTTAATAGAAATATATGTTTAAGATATATTATTAAAATATAAATTTAATTTTAAAACTACATTGAACTTTAACACCGCCCAACAGTTCTTTACTTATTCATAATAGAACATTAATTCAAGCTTCTTAAAATAACATATCATAATCTTTTATTTACGATTAGTTCCTATATTTTTCTATTAAGTTCATTTCAGTTAAGAAATTATTGAATTTATAATATTACTTTCTGAAGCCTGCAGTAATTCATTAGAGATATGTAATAAGTTTTTTTTAAATTAACCTGATTAAAGTGTTTTCAAATCATACCTACTTTTCCAAACCATGAAAATAACATTTCTTTCAATTCTGCACTGCAAATACCAAAATGACTTTGGCTCCGTAACTATTGTTCTATTTTACCCTGTGTTTAGGGGAATAGACCTATAAAATTTTCTTTATTCTCTGATAATCATATTAAGTGCATGTTTCAAAAATTATAAAACTCCTAGAAGTCTTAATTCAATTGATTTTTTACTATTATTCATTAATATAAAATTTAATTCATGTGATTTTCTTATATAATTAATTAATTTAAAATAAATTTCTCAATCAATGGACTTTAGTGCATTAAAGTTAATTAAAATTTATTGTTTTTCTAAATTTTTTATGGGAAGTTCATTAAGCAAATTATTAACTGTATTTAATTTTGATTTATGTATTCTTAAATATTTATAGTTTTGAATTTAATCAACAACTACTCTTATATATTGATATTAGTTGAATTTAAAAAAGAACTATTTCATTTAAAAACATAAATTTAAAATTATTTATTTCTATGAATCCAGAAAGGATATCTAAGATAAATGTAATTCTGTACAAATATATACATTATAAAATATATATATGTATAAAAAACAATATATTAATTATATATATCAGGTGAATTGTATTTTGTAAAGGGGCTGTGGGCAACACGAAGAAATGAAATATAGTTTTTAAACAATGAGAAAAAATTAATAAAATACATAAAAACCTATTTGAAAACATACTCATAAAATATATATAAAAAATGTATATATGTAATGTTATATATGTCCCATTCATACATTTAAATATCAAATTGCAAATGGGTTGTAATAATTGAATTTATAAAAATTCATATATTCAAAGTTTTCTCTTATTACTGTGTGGTTAAATTTAATATAATAATGTTTTTATTAGAACTTGCAAAAAATAATATTTGCATACATTAAAAAAAAAAAATTATAATAAAAACATAAATTTTAAAACTTTCTTTAATATATTGTTATGTCATTGTTATATGTATATAACTAATACATATTTTAAATTTAACTAAATAATTTTTAAATTAATGATTATTTTAATTCCTCATATCAAAAATTTAATTATAATTCATTAAAGATTTTTCAAAAATTCATTTTTCTACATATATTATTTTAATTTTAAATTATTTATCATTTTTTCAATTACTTACTTTTTTAAACATGTAAATTTTATAAAACATATTTTTTTAACAGTTTTTATAATAAAATTTTTTTAAATAACATATTTTTTAAAATTTACTTTTTTTACTTTAAATACTTAATTTTTTAAATATAATTCTGTGAAAATTTTAGTTATATTACCTGCCTTGATTTTAATAATAATATTTGTTAAAATTTAAATTGGATATAATAATAATTTCACATTGAAAATAGTTATTATTTAAAATTAAATTAAGATATTTGATATTAAATCAATCAATTCAATAAATATTATTAAAATGAAGAATATTTATTTTTTATATAAATTTATAAATTTTTTTTTAATACATAATTTAAATTTTAAATATTGAAAATACTTTTATTTTCAAAATAATTTAAAACAATTGAGTATTTTATTTCAATGAATTAATTTTTTGGTAAAAAGAATTATTTTTAAATATTATAATTTTGAATTTATGTTTAAATATTTAAATAATACAAACTACTAAATTGAAATGTATTATATTTCTATATAATATTTGTGATGCGTATATAATGATTGAAATAACAGTAAAATATTTCACTTTTAATTTATTAGCTTCTATTATTTAAATAATAAAAAATAAATTCAAAATTATAATGATAAAAAATAATTTTTTTATTTTAAAAAATTATTACATTGAAATATTAAAATAAAATTATATATAAAAAAAAATTTAAAAATAACTGAAATAATTGAATAAATAATTCAGTTTATTTTAAAAATTTATTATATTGTATTATATTATTATATTATATTTATTATATTCAATTATATTGAGTTATTTTTGTAATTTTTTATATATAATTTAATTTTAATACTTATATAAAAAATAAATATTCTTAATTATAATGATACATATATGTATATTTTACATATTTGTACAGTTGGGTCATATTAAATTATTTCAGCAAATTTAATATCTCATTATTTAGTATTAATTAATATTAATTAAATTTCAGTAAATATTTTTTTTTATTAGAACTATGTTAATTTTTTAATTATTATTATTAGTTAAATAAAATATATGTTTTTTGTTATAGTTTTTATTGGAAATATATATGCTATATACATGTACATAATATGCAAGTTTTTTATGAATTTAGCAATAGATCTTCTTAATTTATATAAATTAACAAAGTGAAGTTAAACCTAATTGTGTATAAATATAAGAAGTTTTCTGATATATTATAAAAAATTTTCATGATAATATTAATGACAAACCTTTAGAAAATGCTTAAATAATATAAAATTTTAAATTCTACAGGTAAATATTCCAATTCATTTTTTAAGACCTAAAAATTTAAAAATTTCTTTAAGATTAATGTTTTAAGCCTGTTAAAATAAATGTTTAAAATAAAAAAATTTGTAAGTTTCAAAGTTTAAAATAAATGCTAAAACATATTTAAGAAAAAATTCGTAAAATTTTTTTACTCTTTATGAATGCGTTCTATTTAAGAAGAAAGAAAAAAAAAGGATGGCTATATATATTATCATAACTTAGTTTTTCTTTCTAACAAAGTTAGGACTTAGTCTTAACTTAAGTCTCCAAACTGACTTAGGCATGAATTGACTCAACAAAGTTTAGTCTGAATCGACCACTGATTTGCTAATACGAAAAGTTAAGTTAAGACAGTGAACTTAGTCCTCTAATTTACCAAAATGTGGAAAAGCTGTCTATACATATCTATACTATAAACGGAATCATTAATGAATTTCAAAAATCTTTCAATGCTAGCTGAAGTATGTTTAATTGGACAGAAAAACTTATTATTGTGTGTTCTCGTATTTTGTTAATAAGTAAATCGTATTGAAGTTATTCGTATAGGATCGATTCTCCCCATCCACCATCCACCATCATTACACACTATAATGATTGCATATATAATACCATATATATATCGGTATTGTATAACATAACAAGTGGAACATGCACTGCTCCACAGTCAGTTGGTAGTTGTTAAAAATCTTCCTAAGTAGGATAGAAATAAACCAGGTACTAGCTCCACCATTTAGTGTGTAATGATTGCATATATCATACCATATATATATCGGTATTGTATAACATAACTGATGGCATCTTTTTCATTCCTTTACATGGCAGTCGTTAAAATTGATGCACTGCTCCACAGTCAGTTGGTAGTTGTTAAAAATCTTCCTAAGTAGAATAGGAATAAACCAGGTACTAGCTCCCAACGGAGCGGAGCAAAGCGAGCATCTTTTGGTTAATCTTTTGTGCAACCACAGACCCTAACCGAACAGAAGACCTTCCACCTTCTGAATGAAAGCCAGAATGTCGGCCGTTGAGAATTTCCTAATGACAGACCAAATTTGTTAAGGTAATAACGCAGTTCATGGTGACCCGTTGAATATCCCACCAGTAACCTCAACTCTATTCTGCTGAAGAAGGATACATTACCATAACAGTAGGAATAAACCAGCTCTTTAGCCCGACGGTTACCTGGAATGTCGCGCCAGTAGCAACTTTTCTCGATTGAGAACTATTTATCAATCAGAGACCTAGTTGTAGACCAATTTAATCCAATATTTCTCCGGCCCACTGATTTGAATAGCAGATCGGCGCTAGACTGTTGGCAGACGACAGACGGCCTCCTAAGTAGGATTCTTCATATTTATTTAAAATCCGTTAATATTATACCATCTACTTACAGTGGAAGATATAAGTTTGTTTGAATTACAACCAAGCTAAATATTCAATACGGACGATAATTATAATATGTCTTTTAAGCACACCAGTGAGAAATTACATATTTGTAGTCTCTGGAAAACGCTCACTATTTTTGAAAAGGGTTGTCTATATCGGTCTAGGTTTTTCACAAACGTTACACCAGCATCATTAATAAATATTGAATATTTATTCCTGTTCTACTCAATATATTTCCTGATCTGTCAACCTTTTTGATTGCGTAGTATAACATTAGGTTAAAAGGTGCTGCGTATACCTGCAGTACCTTAGGACATTATTATATAAGTATAATAAGTATAATTAAGTATAATTATAAGTATAATTATTATATAAGTATAATAATGTCCTATGTAACATTATTGTTACTTTCTTCTTTAATTCTACAGTTGATATCGTAACCTTAATTAATCACTGATGTATATCACTAGACTTATAAATGCAATACCGCAATTTACTTCGGTCTCCTATTTCAAAGACTTGTCTGTAGTCGGGTAAGTGAATAAATGTTACCATAAAATAAAATAAATAAAATGTATAACTAAACAAAAAGTTCCTTTAATCATTCTAAGTAAAGTTTTGCTTAATTATTCTCAGTATTACTATAAAGTATTTAATCGAGTGGATACCATTTTTAAATGTAATAATATGTAGTAAAAATTAATGTCTTCAGCAAGTGTAGCATATATTTTTAATAATTTAGTGTAATATGTGCTAAATACTTAACATTTTCAAATAAATGCTATAACAAAAATATTAATTTAAAAGTAAAATATATGTATACACGTAACCACCAATTATATATTCATAATAAACTATAATAATACTAAATAAAAATATATTAATACAACAAGTTACATAAATTTAATACAGATGCAACGGACGAATTTTTATAAAATAGTGTTAAAAATTTGTCATAATTATAAAAATTATAGTAAAATAATAATAATAAAATAAAATTTATAATAGTAATTCATTATAATGAGTTTCATGTTTTCGCAGGTAAAACACCTATCGGTATTCATCCTGTAGTATTGTCCTGGTATATGTGTCTTTTTTTGAACTATTTCAGCATTTGATCGTATCGGTTTATGAGTAATTCACAAATTAAAGTCCTTTATTGAAGTATACATATTCTGGTACTCTATGCTTGGTACGTTCTTCTACTTCAGCATAAAACTCTGGTTCAAGTCTCTTAATGGTCGTAGTTTTCAAAGAGCTATGAATAGATTTTACCGGTTATTAAGGAATTAAAATTTATATTTCTAATATATAACTTACCATGTTTGTGGAAATAATGCACAAGCAGTAGGCACCATAAAGATTAGGCTAAAGAAGTAACATAATATATATTAGTTTTGAAAATTGAATACAAATATAATAATTCACTTACAAACATCCAACAATGGCAGTTTGGAAAGGAGCATTTAACCATTTGTAACGTTTGTAAATTGGCAGTTTTTCTACGCGTTGCATTATCAGTGGTAGAACCAACATACCAGGAGCAGCCATTAAAATACGTGAGAAAACGACTTGGCTTATACCCTTGACAGCAGCTACACGACTATGACCTACAACTTCATCACGATCGTCTTTTACTTCAATCCCATTAAGGATTTCATTTTGTCGCATAAGCGGAATATTTACACAATTAGCAGCAGCAACTGCAGCAAATGGTACATAACGCTAATGGAAAAAATATTTTTAAAAATTTAATTTTAAGTTAATTCAAGTTAATTTAAATATATGAAAAGATAGGTTCAAATAATAATCCAAACATATATAAAAATAGTTCAATAAAAGTGGTCAACTGTGTGAAATTTTATTCGTTAGATAGATCCTATACTCATGAACTATACCAATTAAAAGCAAGAAAAATTATTGAATAAAATGAGGTATTTACAATGATCAGTTCAAGATTTGCAAACCAACTACTCATAATGCATAGACAACGTTCTTATTATGGGCACTGTTTCGAAAAGCTAAACAATCGAGGGTAATCTTGCACTGCTACTTCATTAGCTAAGATCAGCAAAAGAACTTTATGATATCTCTATATTAATATTTTGATAATTTGCTTTAATAATAAAACAAAAGACCAAATTCATACTTACTCATCTACACAATATAAACAGACAATTTGAAGTGCCTACAAAGTCAGATAGCCATCTGTTTCTATCTAACTCTCGAGAAAATCCAAATAATTGTTTAGTACCACCAGTTTTAAAGTACTAAATTTCGTCCTTGATGTTGAAGCGAACTGTGTCTTAAAGTTTGCTGGGTCTTAAATGACACACACATCTTAAGTAACGTGTACCATCGTTAATCGCATTTAAACATTTTAATCTGATATCGCTACAGACTAACCATACCTATGCGTGGTTTCAACAAGCAACCTCTTCCTATCTATTTTATTGTTAATATTCTTCTCGTTGTATTCTTTAATATATAACACAGACTCATAAAGAACACTTTTTATGTACATTTGTACTTAAATAAATTTCATTCATCAATGAAATAAACAGATGTGTTATAGATATATACCTGAAACAGAGGCGCTGCAACCTTGGTCCAATAATTTTTGCAACCAATTGCCGCTACTAGTGCTGAACCCGTTGCTGACACATAAGCTACTCCGAGCTGCGTCACAGATACTGGCGAATTGGCATTTCGATTTGTGTAATTTACAATCGCATTAAAAGATTGATTGAAGAATTGCCAAAGCACAACAGCCGGTACCGTTTTGTAAAATGCCAACATGCCACCAGTAATAGCCATGCCGCCAGGTACCTACGAAATAAATGCATACCAAGTATTTAATGATTCAATTTATAAAAATAGTTTTTGGCTATAAGTATTACTACGTCATTGATGGACGAAATAACACAGCTGAATAGGTAGGCACGTGCCGATATGCATTGACGTATGCAATTAGTATGCTTAACGGATGTCACCAGCATGTCAACTTATTTACATTACATTGTATATTTAAAATTAAATTTTAAATAAATTAAATTATTGAATCAACTAATTAACAATTATTATTAAATTGTGTTTATGGTGTTAGGTGGTATACCTGAAAACTCATGCGACCACAAAAGTTTTGCAATTCTCCAGTGTCAGGATGAAAAGCCGATGCATATAATTTCATTGCATATTTGATCTCTTTATCTGTTGTCCCAATAGGTTCTTTACCCAAACGGTATGACTCAACTAAAGTTTTAGCGCTCTCCAAACGTTCTGTCGGAACAAGCACAGTGCGTGGATCGGTCATCCAGGCAAAGTGTTTAAAGCGTCCCACAACTGTGTTGAGGTCAAAAAGTGGCTTGTCAACATCGATTCTGGCTTTAGAAAACAAATAAAATATAATTATATATTCTTGATGAGCAATTGCTCAGATAACTCACCTTGTGAAAACATATTTATTTAAATTTTTTTAATAAATTTTTATCTGAATTATTTTATGTCCAGACGTTACGTAAGATGATTTTATTAACTTCGAGCGCTCGGACGCTGCAGCGACTGAAACGAAAAAACATTAAAAATAAGTAAAAACTCAAATTGTCGTTCTGGTTTTTTTTTATCATTTTAATTAGTAACTTTTTTGTTTTTATGTTTTATTAAAATTTTTGGCATCTTACCAAAATTCCGAAATTTTTCACAAAACTTGTTTTTCTTATTGGAGTGCAAACATTTAATAAAATTTAAATATTTTATTAATAAACACAACTTTAATTATTTTTCCTCTCTTTCTAATGTTTATTCAAATCTAATTTGTTTAAACGTTGTAAATCTGCGAAGTGCGTCACAAGACTTGTAGAAAAGTATCTTGAGAAGATGCATTCTATCAGTTCAGCGTTTTCTGTTTTGTTTACAGCAGCGCATGACAGTCGCAGCGAACCGCGAAAAAACAGCTGACACTAAACACAATTTTGAAAACAGGGTCATACACTTTAAACATGTTTGCATTTTTCTTTGAATGTAAGTGTGGTGAATATGTTATACGTAGCGCGAGCGTAATATATTTATTCAAAGATTATAAAGATACTTTTTCTTTTAATTCATTTTTTTTTTATTTTAATAACCATTTGTAAAGCGTTAAAAATATTTTCAACGTTTGTGACTGATGACGTATTTAACAATATATTGTGAAGCCAAAAAGCAACGGAGAGAGTTCTGTTCCAATAAATAAGTTCACAGAATTATAAAATTTATTTTATTATATCTGATCGTTTAAAAAGACTCGTATTAAAATCTAATCTAGACTAATCTTAGAATCTATTTAACGACATTTGTTAATTTGGAATTTCCATACTTGGAATATTATTAAATCGACTTATATAGCATTTACATGAGATTGAAAGTAGATTAAAGCAATAATCGAGATTAAAGTATTAACGTCGTTGTTTAATCTCAGATTTCCCATACAAAAGTTAATCTCCTTTTAGTCAAGATTAAATTTTAAGCTCATTAGAAATGGTAATTATTTTTCTGTGCAATTTTGCAAATGTCTTATTATCGTAGATTTTTTTACGATCGTAGAAAGAATTGGAAAATCTATTCAAAACAAATACTGAAAATGTTGAAGTGAAATTTTTATTAAATTTGTTTGATAGTGATTTTGTACATAATTATAATTAAAATTTGTTAAGCCAATGTAAATACAAGTGAGGGGAGAAAGGAAGTAGTTGCTAGTTTCTATAGGCTTGTACCTCAAATTATTAAGAAGGTCGATTCTCCTTCCTTTCACCTCGTTCTTCACCTTTCGTAGGATCCGAACTTTTTCAATTCTCTACTAGTCAAATTGATTTCATATTTATAAATAATGGATATATATTGTTCGAAAACGCATGAATTTACTGCCTGGTTAATTGGTATCGAAATCTAGCAAAATGCATCTTTTATGCCTATCTTTCTGTCTTAGCGAATAATTTGTTAAAATTATATATAATGTTTAAAGTAGATAATAGCTTTCAAATTATGTCTAGACTGAATGTCTACTTTAGACATTAATGCATCTGACTCTGGTGCAAAGTACTTGTTTCCCTGTGGTCTCTTGATTTTCGACCGAAGTGTTTTTCTAGCAAAATTTGTAGTTATTGTGAAATAAAACTGTTTTATTGATGTTTTATACTTGCAGCGGAGTACAATCCCTCTAAACTCAACAAACTCAGCAAACGTAAGATATCTAATGATAAACCAGTGCGACTGCTCCTCTATAGCCTATGTAAGTGATCGTATCTGCACATACACAAATTAATACTATATTTAAGGTTGTAATACAAATAAGCAACATAAAAAAGAATTCAATGATTAACTATCAAGAGCAAGATGGTTGGTGGGAAATGCGTTCGCCCATTTAAAAGTCAGATTCAGCCAGTTGAGGAAGGGTATAGACAACATTAACAACGCAGTATTAATAATAAAATGTTATTATTTGGTGCATAATTTCCTCAACGAACATAATCATTTAAACAGTTCTAATTGTCGACTCCTTCAAAAGGAATATCAGAACAACAACAAAAGGACACAATCGCAACATGAAGTGTTTTGAAACGATATAAATTCCCAAACGGAAGTTTTGAAAAGAGCAATATCTAATATTTACTTTAAAGACATGCGTTAATAACATTAAATTCCTTTTTTCTTGGTGTGAAAGGAGCTGTTTCATAACATCAATATTATCTTTTTCCGAAAATATAGTTTTTCCATCTTTTTCTCATTTAAACATTTGTTTTTTGGTGTCCAAATCCCCTATCATTTCTATACTCTTTTTTCTATACTTTTGTCAATTTTTCGTGCGAAATTTTTCGTGTACGAATCTTAACCACGCAAGTTCTCTCTCGTACAAAAACCTCACCAATAGGCTTTCTGATAAGAATGTGTGATAGAATAGTGAAATCAAGAGCACAATACTGCAACGGACAAACAAAAAAAAAACAATTGCATTTTAGTTCGAATGAAAATCGAAATGGTATTGACAAAATTAAAGTTTGATCATTTTGTTCAAATTGATAATGTTTGATCGTTCACGGTAATAGACAATTGCTGGAACTAAATGGTTCTGAACTGCATCTACTGGTATTCGGTTTTTTCTTTAAAACAAATAGATTAACAAAGCAATTCTGGCAACGATCTTTTAGCTTCGTTGACACTCAAAAATCTTGCAAAAGATTTTTTGAAAGGTCTTTCGTGTTATAGCAGCGGTCTTTTGCAAAATTGAAAGCTCTTTCCGGCCTTCCTAAAGACCATTTGAAAGATCTGCTATTGATAAGGTCTAAGATTTTATTTGTTTTTTTCGTGTAAAAAATTTTACATACTTAAAAAATATTAATTAATTAAAATTTGTGAAAATTGAACAACTAACTTAAGTTTTTAATACGACAAAACATAAATGTATTGTAATTATTCATTCATATATTCACTAAGTAACGTTTTTATAAATTAAAATAAGAGTCAATAGTTTGTCACAGTTTAAAGTAAAACTAATATTTACTAAATTGTTTTATAAAATTATATTTATTATTACATACTTTTTTAGTATCTTATTATTGATCGCATTTTTACAATACTTCACAGACCGATCATAGACTCCATGATTGACAGATCATAAGCTCCAAGATTGACTCATCGATACTCAATTTTTTACTCTTTGGAATTCCATTGAATTTGTTTATAATTATATCTAAATTGGGTTGAATTCTCTAAAGTCAGTTTTTCTCCTTCTCTTCACTGGTTACTTTCAAAGCTTACTTGCAGCTACTTGTATGGAGGATCTTTAATTCATCATAATTCTAGGGAGTTTCATACAACCTGCGATGATGTGCACTCCAACTAAATATTCCCCCAAATATTCATTTGGGGTTGGCTTTCAATCAACATTGCAATGCAATGTATGTGTGTTCTTTGTTCACTAACAAAGTCCTAATGATTTTCGTTGAAATAGTCATAAAAAAATGACCAATATTCCATGTGTCCTCTTGGGATAACTTCTCATTCGTTGCATTAAATTTCTTGAAGACCCATTTCATATTTCTGTTTGATATCTTTAACATGTTATCGACGCTAAACACTTCAGCATTGACATTTTCGAAAACAATGGCATCTTTCTGCGTACTATGATCTAACAATTCATTATCACTGTCATTTTGAAGCGTCTTTAGTATCACTCTCCAATAACAGTTCAAAAATTTTGTCTTCAATGTATTTTTTTCTCATTGCTATTTTGTACCAAGTATGCAGCGCGTTCGACATAATATGTTTTTCAGAATATATCATAAAAATATAACTGCTAATTATTAACCTTTATATTGAATTTAAAGAAAACAAGATTTCAAACAAAATAAAAGTATCAAATGTATCCAAAAGGAAGCAAATTTTACAAAAAAAATGATTTTTTCTTGCAGTCAACGATAAAAGCAAATTCTCCACAACTGACGAAACAGTCCTATTTTAGGGTATTCCCAAAGTTACAGCAAAAAGTACGCTTAATTAAGAAACAGAGAACTATTAGCTTCACAAAAACTTCAGAAATGCTAGTAGAAAAGTGTCCAGCTGGCTGCACGTCAGGACCGAAGAGGTTATAATGATATCTCCAATTTCAAAATTGTGCTGCGTCAGAAGATATAGTGAGGCAATTGCGAATCACAATGTTTCAACAATAATAAGCACAACTCTGCGCAAATATCAGTATGTTTATCGAGCACGTTGGGAAACGAACAAATTTTTCAACGCTAAAGTGCTTTGGTTGCGTGTTAAAGAACAGTACCCAAGAGATTATGATGTATTTCGGAATTAGTCGATACTAACACTATTATTTCTAGGGTGTCAAGTATAATTAGTGAGATTTCGGTAGTTAGAGATTCTTCGAGGAAATAATTAAATTCTAAATGCAGATCAGATTGAAATATACTACGTCATAGAACGCGGACGGGTACGGCATTTGATCTTTTCACCAACGGATTTTTTCTGTAGAATTACGATCTTTACGATGGTTGATTAAATCATAACGTGCAGAGTTTGTACCTCATATACATTCCTCCAATTTCTCTTCCAAATCATTTGGCTTACGAAAACTTTTTGTATTAAGTTTCAATACTGGTAGTCGTTTCTGGATAAGTGCCGTAAAGATAACATCAGTTACTGGACCCTTGAAGGGACTGAAAGAATTCACTGCTTGTCTTATTTTATCAGTGTCAAATATAATACCAAATAGGGACATCAATCCTCTGTCAGGTTGTTCATAGCAAAACGTATGCCAATCCATGGATGTATCACATAACATCGATCCAGGAAAGTGCACACGTATTATACGTTGCAATGTTTCACAACCATTTGCTGTGTAGAGACCATCACTTTTTTCAAGAAAACAATGTCATTTGTAAAAGACTAAGAGACGTTGTGAAGGCGGGTCATTTGAGGTGTGTTCTCAATACTGTCACAGAAAGTTTTCCATGACCTCCGTTTAGATTTCCTGATCTCATTGTTGTACGTGGTGAAGGACATTTTATAGTCCACCCACAGCCCTGATCGCTCAGCGGAATTAAAAAGCTGCCTAACATCTCTGTGTATTTCTCCAAGTCCGTTATTTCACCATGGCACATCTTGTCTGGATGTACCTTGTGATTAAAAAAGAACGAATTTCAATTTTTGAATTCCCGCGCTTATCCAATCGGTAAAATTTTTTTATTTTCACGCTGGCAACACTATTATATACATTCTATTGAAGTTTAATGCATATTTTTCTTACATACATTTATTTATTGCATCTTCTCTTAGAATGAGACTAAAAGTTCTAAAATCTTATCACTAATTACACAATATTACAAATTTTAATTTTTCCTATACATAGTATAAAATAAAATAAGTAAACCTTATATCACGAACCTCACTTAGAACAATGGGTTAAATTTCATTGGAGTGAA